CCTACTGTTAAGGTGTTGAGGTGTGACTTGTCAAATCTACATATGTGTGTGTGTCTTATCTCACTCAGCCATATAACCTGAATCTCTCACTCACTGCTCATTGAATTGAGAAAGCTCCTCGGATGAGGAGCGAAACGTCTTTTGTTACAAATAAAGTCCAGTTGTTTTTGTATTGAACATTTTTTTTAGTCTGTCCTTATCAATGCACCAACACATATTCAACATTATTAATTATATTGTTTATCTTGTTTCTTTATATATTGTATTGTTTATTAACATTTAGGAACTTTTGTGTGAAATCTTTTTATCTTTTTATCTGTTGCTGCTGTTGTTGCTGTTACACTTGAATTTCCCATCTGTGGGACAATAAAGGCTGTTTCTATTCTATTCTATTCTATTCTATTCTATTATATTCTACCCTGAAGCTGTTACTCATGAATCCCCAATCAGGGTTATCACTGTAAAAAAAAAATCACTGTAACGCCACTTGATTGTTTATATGTGCTGCTGACTATCCATGTTTCTAATCTCGTGCTGCTGATTTAATCCAAGCTGCTGTATTCATTTGTGTTCACCTGCACACACAGACTCATGTTCATGCTGTTGTTGTTTGGCGTATTGTTTTTGTACTATTCTTGCTTAGTTTTAGTGTATTTCTTAGTTCATATCTTGTGTCTTACTACTGTTTTTCTTTACAATTTATACTTTTTTGGATGTAATTGGGACCCTGAGTACACAATTACGTTCCACCACATGTATCACATCTGATGCAAATGACAATGAAGAACCTTGACTTGACTTGCGCTTGCTAATTTCTGAGGCACAGAGCTAATGACAAGCGGGTAGGAGAATTGAAGAGAATTTGTTATTGTTTTTTTTTTTTACAGATCACTTAAAATAAACCTAATGTTCAGCAAAATACACTACACTTTTTGCATGAAAAAAGAAGTGCTGGTTGGGTTGCTGTGATCATCCTGTGAAGGAAATACGACCTGTCCAGGGTTTACCCCATCTTTCACACATATCCAGGCCCATAGTGGCTAATCAGGAAGACCAGGCCAGTTCCCGGTGGGCTGGTCTGATGCATGGGCCACAGGGCCAGAGCTTACTGTTTTTATTAGGCCCGAACAGCGAAGCGCTGCAAAGGCATATTGTAATCACTCTGTTCAGGCCTTAACTGCAATTTTTTCCACCAAATAAATTGGCGTTTTGGGGGCCTTAACATATCCCAAAAGTCAACAAATTTGGCGGACGCATCAGGACTGGTGAAAAATTACGTACTTTCAATGCAAGGCAAAAATCGCAACAGAAACAGATCAAGAGCGCCAACTAGAAATTTTCAAAATACCCTCCGCATTAACCTTAGTTTGTCATAGAAACATGAAATTTGGTACGCTTGTCCAATTCCCCAAGATACACAGAAAACCATCTGGCACTAGCGTTGTACGATAAACAAGAAGGCAGCCATTTTGGAATGCCGGACCAATTCTCACACCTTTTTGGTGGTTTACAGCCTTCGCATTTGAACAAACTCCTCCTAGGAATTTCGCTCAATCACTTTCAAACTTGGTCATTTTGGTCAAAGGGCATGGGGTATAAAAATTTATCAAAATGGTTTGTTTCGGAGCATGATGAAGGGGCGGAGCCAGACCTCAAAATTTGACATCTTGCCATGAAAAACGAAACGCTAATAGCTCATACACAAAAACTGTCTGAGACATCAATCAAACCTTAAGTGATTGATCCACATCTGGTCCCCTGCAAGACTGAATGGTCAAATCATGACATCACTTAAGACATGACCCCTGACAACAGGAAGTGTAAAGTTTTACCTTGAAGAGTCCCTATCTCACCCCTATGATCTAATCAGCATGATAGTGTGTCCAGTCACCGAAGACATGGTGGTGTAACTTGTTTTCCAACACTGACAGTTTTGGGTGGAGCATGTGGGCGGCACAGTGTGGCGAAGACGTAATGCCGTCACCATACGTTGGGCTCTAAATTCCACAGATTTGAGCAGAGGTTAACCTAAATCCCTATGATCAATCATTATCCAACCCTTGAACAGAAAGCCATCACAAATGGCCAGTAGCCTCCACAGCGCCCCCTAGAATATTTTAAAAACAGCCCAAAGCCATTTTTGGACCGATAATTCTGAAACTCGGTCTACACAGATTTCAGCCGAGGTGTATCAAAATCACTATGATCGATCATTATCTACCTGTTAAACAGGCCTCCATGATAAGTGGCCAATAGCTTCCACAGCGCCCCCTACAGTATTTCTACAGTTATATCTCAGTGATACATCATACGATCTGAACCAGATTTATTGTGCATCATGAGTGAGCACTACTAGACACATTCATATTGTGGTTTAACATATGACTCCAGTGCGCCCCCTACATAATTCAAAAACTTATGTCTCTGTGATACATAATTCTATCTGAACCAAATTTTGGGTGTGTCATCTGTGAGCATTTCTAGACACATTAGAATTGTTGTTTAACATTTGACTCAAGTGCACCCCCTAGATTATTCAAACTGTTATATTTCAATGATATATTATCCGATCTGCACCAGATTTTTTGGTGCGTAATCAGTGAGCACTTCTAGACACATTGGTATTGTTGTTTAAAATTTCACTCAAATGTACCCACTAGATTATTCCAACATTTATATCTAGGTGATACATCAACCAATCTGCACCAGATTTTTGAACATGATCAGTGAACACTTCTATATACGTTGGTATTGTTCTTTAACATTTAACTCTAGTGCGCCCCTAGATTATTCCAAAAGTTATATCCAGGTGATACATCATTCGATCTACACCAGATTTTTTTCTGCATCATAATTGAGCACTTGTAGATAAATTGGTATTGTTTTTTAACATTTGACTCTAGTGTGCCGCTTAGATAATTACAAAAGTTATATTTCAGTGATACATCATCCGATCTGTACCAGATTTTAAGTGTGTGATCAGTTAGCACTTCGAAACACATTGGTATTGTTGTTAAACATTTTACTCAAGTTCGCCCCTACATCATTCCAACAGTTATATCTCAGTGATACATCATCTGATATAGACCAGACTTTTTGTGCTTCATCTGTGACCACTTGTAGACACATTAATATTGTTGGTTCATGACTTGACTTAAGCCTGGCCCACTCAGAGAAGAAACTGATGATTATTGGGTGACT